TGAGAGGTTGGGTAGGTGGGAGGACATCAACCAAAGAACTTGCTATGTATATATGCATAACCCATGGACAGAGACAATAGTGTGGTGAAGGACTGGGGTGGGGGGCGGGGGAGGACTGAAAGGGGTCAATGGGGGGAAAAGGAGGATATATGTAATACTTTCAACAATAAAGATTTTTTTTAAAAGTCATGGCTAATAATAGTAAAAATAAAATGGTCCATGAAAAAAGAAGGATGGTTGAATTGAGGCACATACCTGGTAATTTACTATACTTCTGGGGCTCTGTGAAAGTAAAATTGGAAAGCACTTAAATGGAATAATGTTTCTACAATGCATTAAAGAATGTTTAAACATTTTTTCTGGGAACTGAAGGGAGTTCTGAATAGGCAGTTTGGGAGTGATGATAAAGCATCCTTTGGGTTATAACGCATGAGAAATTTTGTCAAGCACACATATCTTAAAACCACATAATAGTAAATGCAAGCAAGATTCTTCCTGTGAACATTTCTTAAGTTAAGGGGCAGCATAAAATGACATGGGGCTTTAACATCATTAAATTTGGGCTTGACCTCGAGCTTCCACCGCTATTGTCATGAACCTTAAGTAAGTCCCTTCACCCTCCTGAGTTTACGTTTCTTTATCTAATAACAAGAATAATCACAATAAAATGGGGCCCAGCGGAAAGGGTGTAGCGAGGCATCCGTAGGCGTTCTGTAAGCCCTGCAAATGCCAGCCTGTTACCCTGAGTTCAGTGCTTCCTGCGGTGGAGCTGGGAGTGTGCACCTGGGCCCCTTCACTGGAGATTTCGGGGAAAGCTGCTCTGGTCTCAGGCCTTGGGCTCCGTGGGCATCCCTGGCTGAAGAGCATGACCCTCCATGAAGGCACGGGAGCCGGGCGGCCTTGCAGCCAGGAAGGCCAGGCTGGGAGCACCCTGAGGACGCTGTGGGTGGTCCCCGGACATTTAAGTGAAATGTCAGCGGGGAAAACGAAACCGCCCCCTCCGGCCTTTTCCCCAAGGCACCTGCCGAGGGGTCATTTCATGAACCAGTTTTGTCTGAAATCCTAACATTCGAGAAGCCTGAGGAGGCCACCTGTGCTGCTGTGGAGAGTTCTCTCTCAAAAATCAGTGCCTGCGAGCAAGGGCCCCGCTCAGAGGACCTGAGGCGGCTGAGGTGCCGAGGCTGGACTCCGGGGCGCCCCGTCGCCCGGAAGCCGTGTCTCCATACTCCCTCCACCCTGCTCTCAGCTCCCAAACCGCCATGGTTTTGTTACTGTCGGTGGGATTCGAAAAAGGCACCACTCCTCCATTCCACCTCCAACTGTCAACTGCTGCTGCAAAGGGCACCAACTCCCTCATTCCACCTCCAACTGTCAAAGGCTCCCACAAAGGGCACCAACTCCTCCATGTGTCCAGGCCAATGGTCTGGCAGGGGGTGGGCAGCAGGCAGGCAAGGACATTGCTGCCCTTGACCCTCCCTGCAGGGCCCTGAGGGTCCCCAGCTCTTACCCTACAGGGGTGTGGTATGGGGGAGACAGACCCTTTTTGTCCTTCTAGACTCCATCCTCACCCCCAAGTAAAATGATCCTTGGGAGGCTCAAGGGCTGCCTAGGGGCTTCTGAAGAGGATGTGGGAGAAAAAAGTACAACTTTCATTCCTATTGATTTGTATTTTACTTTCAATTTTTAATTTATTGTGGGGGTTTTTCAAATAAGCAGCACATTCGTATGCTTTAAAACGGTAAAGTTAAAAGGATCTCGAAGAGACATTGGTACCCCCATATTCATAGCAACATTCTTCACAATAGCAAAAAGGTAGAAGCAAAGGTAACAAGGGAGGACAGAATAAACAAAATATGTTCTATACACTGGAATATTACTCAGTGCCCCCACTTGCTACAATATGAACTTGGAGTTCACTATGCTATGTAAAGAAAGTCAAAGACAAAACCGCAAATGCCGTATGATCCCATTTGTATAAGGTGTCAGAGTGGTCGAATTCACAGGACTAGAAAGGAGAGTGGTGGTTGCCAGGGGCTGGAGAGCAGGCATGGGTAGAGTTTCGGTTTTGCAAGATGAAAATGTTCTGGAGATGGATGGTGGTGATCATTGCACAACACTGTGAATGTACTTAATGTCACAGACGTGTACACTAAAAGATTGTTAAGATGGGCCGGGTCAGTGTGGCTCAGTGGTTGAAAGTCTATGAATCAGGAGGTCTCAGTTCAATGCCCAGTGAAGGCACATGCGTGGGTTGTGGGCTCAATCCCACTAGGGTGTGTG